TCTGCCGACACCCCTCAGTGCTGACCCGCAGCCCCCTCAGCTATTCCGCACCCAGCTCTGCCGACACCCCTCAGTGCTGACCCGCCTCTGACCAATGACCTGTCTGGCTTTGTTCCTCGATCGCCTTCGCAGGGGGCTGGCGTCTGGTGGGTCCTGCCTGCCCCATCACAGATATTTGCTCCGCTTTCGAGTGCCTCCCAGGCCCCTTGTGCAGCACCACTTTCTACAATGAGGCGTCCCATTATTGTGCACCTGTGCAGTTCCCCTGGTGGTAGAGACCTGTCTACACTACAGCTTCCACTACTAGTGCGCACCCCAAAGTGCTCTGCTCTCTGAGCTCCATCCCCCAGGGGAGATGTGGATGCTGGGCTTTGAGGATAAGCCTCTTCTCTGCCTGGCAGGTCCTTGAAGGAAGGCCAGGCCTGGCTAGGGGGCTGGGGCCCAGGGAGGGCAGCAGCAGGCCTGGCTCTCACACAGGGTGGACTCCCCCAGTCGATGATCCTCTGCTGTGTTTGTCTTTTTCAGACCGAAGAGGATTATATCCCATATCCCAGCGTCCACGAGGTAATGAGGGTGCCCGTGCTTTGCCTGTGTCATATTTACATTGCTGTGGAGACCAGAGCCCGGTCTGGGGGTGCTGCACATACCCCCAGGCATGGTCTCTGCCCCAAGGAGCTTCCAGTCTAAGGAGACGTGTGACAAAGGCAGGGTGAGGCCCGCTCTGCCCAGCCACCCGCGTCTGGCATTGCAGCAGGGCATGTCTAGAGGAGGGCAGTGGCCAGCCCAGGATGGGAGTCCCTGGGAAGGCACAGAGTGAATGGGATGAACAGGCGGGCAGGGGTAGGGAGTATGGTGGGTAACGAGGGGACAAGCAGGGAGGGGCGGGCTGTTCTGCAGCGTCGCAAGCACTTGCTGATCTTCCCCTTGCCCTGACAGACCAGCGCCTGAGTCTTGCAGCAATTGGCTGGCCCTGCCAGATCACAGGGTACACTCTGGGCACTCGTAGGGATGGCACCAACCCATAGGGGGCGCTGGGAAATCCCCCAGCTCCCCAGGGATCTCGGCGGGCATGTAGCACCGGGAGGGTGGGGTTGGAGTGGAAGGGATGGGCGTGGTTACCAGGCTGGGGTACTGAGGCCAAGGCTCCAACGTGTAAGCAGATCTCCTAAGCTATGCAGCATCTGGCCTGGCCAGGCTGTGGATGGGTGAGCAGGGAGTGGTGGTGATTAGCCAGCAGTGGGTGCTCTTCTCCGACTGCCCCAGCATGGCGCCGCGGGGTGCTGTGCTCCTGGCCCCTCCGCAGTTTGCAGTGTTGGTGTAGCCAGGTTGGTCCCTGGATATTAGAGAGCCACGGGGAAGGGGAGACCTTTCATCACCTCAAAGTGCAGGAGTTGGCCCAATGAAAGATGTTCCCTCACCCCGTTGTGTCAGTGCTGAGCCTGTGCTCCCTATGGGTCTGGTTCCTGACAGTGAGCACTGCGCTGCCTCCCTCAGTGCCCTCTCGGCTTCCCATCCCTTGGCTGCTGCCTTGGGCCCCCGAGGCTGACGAGGCGAACGCTTGGGCTCCTTCAGAAGAGTGGCATTGTAGAAACCCTAGGTGCATGCTCCACAGGGCTTTGGGTCTCCATATCAGGATTGTGGCGCTGCTCTGGGGAGCCGGTCAGCGTTCCTCAGTGCAGTTTCCTGGCTTCCCTCTCTCTTCAGGTGCTGGGGCGCGAGGGGCCGTTCCCCCTCATCCTGCTTCCACAGTTCGGGGGCTACTGGATCGAAGGCACCAACCATGAGCTGACCAGCATCCCCGAAACCGAGTCGCTCCCGTCTCCAACCTCCAAGGTGAAACTGGAATGTAACCACATGGCCAGGATCTACAGGAAGCATTTCCTGGGCAAGGTAGGCACCCCTTCTCCACCCGGCCCTGGCCCAGCGGGAATTTGATCCAGGTGCTCACCATGCGCTGCCTTTAGCACAGACTGGCTGTTCTCCATCCCTTTGCTGGTGATTCCCCGCCCAGACCGGTTTCCCTGGCTCCAGGTGCTTGTGGGACTCAGACTCCCCCTGGTTTCAATGGATTTTGGAGCAGGCTCATACGGGGTTCTGCTTCATTTGCAGGCTGGGGACAGCCCATGCTGGGGCTAACCCATGTGCTCTCTGTCCCTGGAACAACCCAGCCGAGCCACATTGGGCTCCCCAAGGAAGCCATGTAGCAAATTTCCCATGTGAACAGGATGGGGGGACTGGAATTGTGGGAATCGAACAAGGAAAAGAACTCGACTCCTGTCTGGGGAGAGGGGCTTGGGGAAGCAATGGTGACCTGGGACATCTCGCCATCGGGGGTGCCCAGGATGTTCCACCGTCAGAGTTCTTTAACACACAAACCACAGTCTGATTTCAGATCCCCCAAGAGCCCTGCCTTGCCCAGCTCCCTGCCCCTCCTCCCAGGCCCAGCGCTCCCCAGCGGCTCCCGCAGTTCACCAGCTCCCAGGTGACATGCAGCTGGGGATTAGCCAGTTTCCTGGGGCTCAGGGGGTGGAGCGGATACTGCTAGCGTTTGGATCCAGTTTAGGGGTCTGGTTAGTCATTGTGCTGAGGCCCCTTTAAGATGCTCTGGGGGCATAAAGGGGCCTTTAAGGGAGCAGAAAGACTTCCTGAATAGCCACCCTATGTGGGGGCCTCCCTGAGCCGTACGGAGTTGGTGTCAGGGCTCTGTGCCAGCCATGCTCCCAGCCCTGGCATGGGGTGGATCAGGAGCATGGTTGGCATTTGCTGCTCTACAGCAGTTCTCCGTTTCCCAGGGGCCCTCTACCCCACTGCAAGGACTGGGCAGGTCACCAAAGAGGGGGAGTTCAAAGCTGGCTTCAGGCCTTTCCCTACTCCCCACATGCACAGAACTGGGGTACCTGAGGGTAGGTGAGGTTGGCACCGTCTCTAGCCCCCACAGGCCAGATCACAGATCCTGCTAGTGCTGCTAGCTGCTGAGAAGAAGCTGCATGGTTAGAACAGCAGCACTCCTCTATTATCCTCAGTCAAACAGGCCTAAGCCTGGGAAAGCCCATGCCGTGGCCTGAGGCCCCTGGGCTCTCCTTCAGGGTGTGGGCTGCCGTCCCGGGCTCTGTTTGCCCAAGGTTATCACGCTGTTTGCTGGAGTACTTACAAGCTGTTGCTTTTCTGCACCCCTTGCTGCTGGGATTAATTTCCCAGCACCGGGACACAGCCTGTCTCTTCCGTGGCCCTGAGCCATGCTAGCATGAATCAACCCTGCACCCTCCTCCAATGGCAAGAGCACGCCCCCCCCCCCATTGCATTGCTGCATCCCTTCTGCTCCTGCTGTTCCAGCAGAGCATTGCGCTGGGGCCTTGTTTACATGCCGTACAGCTCCGGCTGTATCCGCCCCGTGGGATTTAAATGCTCCCTGGACTCGGCTGTCTGTTTGCACTGTGCTCCTTCCCACCCTGTCAGGACTCTGGGGATTGCGGCACGCTGGAGCGCGTTGTTGGCTGCGTCACAGTGTTTTGGGCAGCACTGGTGTCTTGGTGGGGAGAAATGTTCTGGGGAAAGGGGGTGAGGCCCCCAGCAGTGCTGCGGGACAGACCTTTACTGCATGTCCCCAGTTGTTTGGCGTGAGTCGGGGCTACCCATGGTTAATCCCCCTGGAATGTGCCCAGGGCCATGCCCACTGGTCCCAGGGATGGCGCTCAAATCCAAAGGCATGGGATTGGCAGCCCAAGCTCTGCCAGTGTTGGAAACGTACACAGCCTTTGGAGTTGGGATGGCCCATGACGCTCTGGGGTTTGCTCCCCGTGTGTCAGCCCTTCCCTCTCCCCTTGGGCAAGGCCGACCCATTGCGCCGCGATCACGGAGGGGGCGGTTTGTGCTATGGGGTGGATCCCACAACGCAGCTGCTCTGGGTGCCCCTCGCTTGGGGCTGGGGGCACTTGGGAAAGACCTGTGGTGCCGCTGTGTTAGAGCATCTGAACCCCCCTGGAGGCACCTCCAGGTCCCGGCCTGCCCTGGTTCATGCAGCCAGTAGTTGAGGGAGCTATGGCATGAAGGGGTGCCCCGTTGGCAGCTGGGAATGGCTTGTTGGCCAAGTTCACCTGCAGCTGGTGGGGAAGTGGGAGCAGCAGCCTAGACTCCTTGGGGTTCCCCAGGTGCATCCCCTACCTGTGCTGCCCACTGGTCTCTGGGGCTCATTGGGTCCCTGGCTCTGTTGACCCTGACCCTGCAGCAGGCCATGGAGGGGCCTGAGGTGTTGACAGACCCTGTGGGACATCTCCAGGTCATGGGGTCCTGCTCCGAGTCCCAAGGCGGGGGCTCTGCAGGACATGCCAGCCTGGCCCAGCAGCCTGTGGGGGGCAGCGCTCAGCATGCCGGGGAGTGGAAGGGGTGTGTGCCTCTTACAAGAGGCCCATGAGCTGGAGTAGCCGACATGGGACCCGTCAGCCACTTGCAGCCCCCCGCCCTCCCGCGCATGGTGGCAGGTGTCTGACCTGCTGCCTGAGCCTAACAGCCGCCCCCCCACCCCCCAAGTTCCTTGGTCACCAGCTGGCTCTCACCTGCCAGGATGCGCAAGGCCCTAGCCAGCAAACTGCCCCTCCCTCCCTCTGTCGCCTGGAGGCGCCCCAGGCCCTGAGGGGGGCACCCCATCCTGCCCAGCGCTGGGGCCCAAGGGGCAGAAATCCTTAGCTCCTGCTCACGGGAGCCAGGCTGTTGTGTGAGCCCAGGAGGGCAGCCGTTACCCCAGAGGGCAGCAGTGGACTGTGTCCCCCCACCATTGACGGGACCAAAGAGCTATGCCCACTCCTGCTGGGAGGCTGCGCTCTGGTCTCTCAGTGGCTCATCTGTTTTCCCCCAGGAGCACTTTAACTACTACTCCCTGGACACGGCACTGGGCCACCTCGTCTTCTCCCTCAAGTATGATGTAATTGGTGACCAGGAGCACCTGCGGCTGCTGCTCAGGTGAGCGCGGGGCCCTCTGTGTCCCCGGGGCAATGCCTGAGCCACAGGGGCCTAGATAGTGCCTCCTCCCCCTCGCTGCGGGGGCCAGGCGCCAGGGCTCTTGGGGCGCCCAGCCAGGTCCTGTGACACCCTCATCTCTTATTGCAGGACCAAGTGCCGAACCTACCATGACGTCATCCCCATCTCCTGCCTGACCGAGTTCCCCAACATCGTGCAGATGGCCAAGGCAGGTACCTCAGCGGGACCCTTCCAGCTCCATGGGCTGAGCCTGTACCCTGATCTCACTCAGCCCTCATGCAGGCCAGGCCCCGTTTCCCTGCCTCAGGGCTGAGGAGAACGCCGGGCTGTGGGGGCCCGTTAGTGCCCTATGGCTGGGGCCATTCCTGGCTTCAGCAAGGATTCATTTATCTGCAGCCTGCCCAGCGGCCGTGGCCGGCAGCCGGGGCACTGTGGCTGTACAGCCCATTCTCTCTCAGGGCGCTGAAGTTGATAGCCTGGTGTGGGGCAGGGGCTGGGCTGGGGCACACATACAAACCCCCACCTTGCTCCATGAAGGGAGCCTGAGAGAACAGAGAGCATCACCCCAAAACCCCACACACGTGAGCTCTGGCTGCTCCCATCCAGCAGGGGACAGTAGTGCACGCGCCCCTCCTCCTCCCCCCTGACACGTGCACACACATGGTTCTGAGTTGCACTGTGCCGGAGCAGGGAGCGGGGCAGATTGACCTAGGGATGTTGCAGGGGAGTTTACTGGGACTGTCTGCATTGGGGGATGGGAGAGCAGGGGCTGACTTCACTTGAGGGATGATACCTGAGCCTGTAACCAGAGCCAGGAGGGGGGTTGCAGCCAGGCGACACCTTTGCCCGGGAAACTGGACAAAGGCTGGGGGAGGAGCCGGGGAAGGCTGGGTGAGACGGCTGGAGGGGGTTTTTCAGTTTGGAGCGGTCTGGGGGAATGGAGGGAACCCCAAGGCTGGGGTCTAAGCTCCCTGCCCCCCCCCCCCGAGGGACCTGACTTGGGGGTCCTGGTTGTACCTACAAGCTCTGTTTGGGACTGTGTTCCTGTCGTCTAATAAACCTTCCATTTTACTGGCTGGCTGAGAGTCACAGTGAATCGCAGGAAGTGAGGGTGCAGGGCCTGGACTCCCCCACACTCCGTGACATGCACGTTCTCACTCTCTCGTCTGTGTTTCAGCTGGCGTGCGAGGACGTGAACGTGGATCGGTTCTATCCGGTGTTGTACCCAAAGGTAGGCTGGAGGCAGTGTGCCGGGGGGAGGGAAGCCAGCCTGCACTTTCTGACAGCTCCCATGTGCATATGCACACCCAGCCTGCCTCTTCACCATTGGGGGCTCGCACTAGGGGGCCCAGCAGGGAACCCCAGCCTTCAGCAGGCACCAGGATGTTGGATGGGCAGGCTGGGCATTCCACAGCCAATCAGAACTTAGTTCAACTTTAGTCCCAAACCTGACCCTGGCTGGCTCCTTTGCCAGGTTTGCCCGTGGCCAGAAGCAGCACCACCAAGCCCCCCCCCCCCCCCCCCCCCGGGGCCCCCCCCGGCGGGGCCCCCCCCGGGCCCAGACCCCCCCCCCCCGCCCCCCCCCCCCCCCGCCCCCGGGAGCCTTTCTCAGGGTGCTCCCGGACCAGCATAGAGCCCCACCCAGGGGTTTGGAGGAGCTTCCTCCTTGCAGGAGAGGTGCCCCGTCCTAGGGGCTTACCTCACTGGCTGGGTTATAACAGGGCTGGCCTCCTTCTGCCCCCTGACTCCAGTGCTGAGAGCAGAGCACTCAGCTCAGGGCATTCTGTCCTGGGCTGGGCTAGGGTCCGGCTGCTCTATGGCGAAGCTCCCACCCCTGGGGTGGGTGGGGGTTCAGAGGAAGCCCTGGGACTCGGGAGAGTCCATCCCTCCCACAGCATATTTCTGAAGTCCATTGAGGTGGGGAAAGGGACACCAGACAGCACTCTGGTTCCCCAGCTCACAGGAAAGAGGGGCATCCCTGGGTGACTCCCAGACACCCCCTCCCAAAATGTCCCAGAGCTCTGGCTCCATCCCTTTTCTGCTGACAGGCAGAAGAGCATTGTGGGTAACTACATGTGGATGCAGGCACAAAGGGCTGGATTTGGAAAAGAGCTCAGGTGCCCTCTGCTCCACGGGTCCCCAGCCCCCAGGGCCCTGCTCTGTGGGGCTTCCTGGTCGCTGTGCTAGGAGTTCACACAGAGCTGGGCTTGCACCAGGTGGGGACAAGAACCAGAGTCCTAGATCTCAGAGATGGGAAAAGCCTGTTAGAGCCAGCCCAGTCCCTGTCTGTGTGGCTTGTTCCTGCTCCGAGGGTGCCCCTCACCCACCTGCGCGTGGGAGGAAATTTTCTAATGGGATTTTTTCCATTGGAAACGCCAGTTTAGAGACAGCAAACAGTCCATGGAATCGTCTCGCCTTGGTAAATTCATTTCCAAATGGAAATCAAGTGCTGGGTGCAGGGCTGGGGGCGTTGCGTGGGGCCGGGCGTGTCCTGCCAGGCGAGGGGCATCCTTGCCGGGTGCAGGGCTGGGGGTGTCCCATTCGGAGTGCCCCATTTTGATCTTTTCCAAATGCGGCATTTCGGTTTTCCATTTTGAAACAACGTTTCCTTCCAGTTTTTTGTGATTTTTTTTGAGAATTGTGCATTATAAAAATGGGGCAAAAAGTGGCGCTGGGAAGGGAAGGGTCAGATTTTGTCAGAGCTTCGATCGGCCCCAGACGAATTATCTTTCAGAAAATTGGTTTGTGGGAAATTTCAAATGTTCTCGTTCTGGGACGGAAGAAATGTCGAAATCATGAGACCCCCCCCCCCACCCCGAAATCCAGATTCTGAACCGCCCCATGCCTCACACCCCACACCCCACACCTACCGCCCTGAGAGGAACCTGCCCCATGCATGGCTCATGACTCCCCCCAGGGCCGGGTCCCTGTCACAACCCAGAGGGAGCAGGGGTTCCTGGCAGCCGGATGTAACCAGCCTCTCCCGTCTCCCCAGGCCTCCCGTCTCATTGTCACCTTCGACGAGCACGTCCTCACCAATCACTTCAAGTTCGGTGTCATCTACCAGAAGTTGGGCCAGGTGGGTCAGTCTGTGGAGCGGGGGCTGGGCTCTCCGGGACGGTGAATCGATCCCACTGGGGGCTGGGGCTACCCCAGCCTGCCAGCCTCCATCCCCGGCTTTCCCCTCTGACAAGCAGCCTGCGGCGGGGACGGGAGCCGCTCCAGCTCAGCATGGCCGTTGGCGAGCAGGAGCGGCTGGAGACGGGTTTCCTAAACAGCAGAGACGTCTCCCTGGCATCCCGCCCTTCTAGCTGCTTTCATCTCAGCACAGCAATGGCCCGTTTGCTTTGCCAAGAGCTGTAATGGATTCAGGAGCCATGGCAGAGGCTATCCAGCTAAACCGTACCCTTGACTACATAGCGTTTGCCCTGGTTCTGTTACCGGGGGTGGGGTGGGGTGAAGAGCATCACTTAATGGTTAAGGCTGGGAACTGGGAGTCTGGAGAGTTCTGTTACCTACTTCTCCAGTGACCCTTTACAAGTCATGGCCCCCATGCCTCAGTTTCCCCACCAGTCAAATGGGGAGAACCCCGAAGCTGGGTGCACAGACAGGCTGTTGGTGAGGGGCTGCGACAGCCCCAGATGAAGGATTGCGATGGGTACTCCCCAGAGCTGGGTCCCAGTGGCTGTCATGCTCTCCGCAGGCACTGCCATCGGGGGCGTTGCAGGTTCACTCTGCAGGTCAGAGCTCAGCTCATGGCATAGACCCGGGGGGAGACTCGGCCGCAGCAGAGGCTCTTCGCCCCTGCACCCTTACAAGCGCCATCTCCGCTAGTGGCGCCTTTGCCCCCTCTCACAGACTCAGCTTCTCTCCAGCCAGGCTGTCTGGACAGGCCTCAACCCAGCACAGCCCCAGGCTCATGCTAAGCTGGCCAGGGGGCCCAGCCCTGTCCTAACTCCTCTGCTTTGCTGGCCATGTTGCAGACATCCGAGGAGGAGCTGTTTGGCACCACCGAGGAGAGCCCGGCCTTCGCGGAGTTCCTCGGCTTCCTGGGCCAGAAAGTCCAGCTGCAGGATTTCAAGGGGTGAGCAAACTCCTGCCAGCCTGGGTCTGCTGGGCCTGTGTGTGGAGAGGAGGGAGGCTGGCCCCCTGCACTGCTCTGGCCCCTCTATGCTAAGCCTGTGCCACTCGCTGTCCCATCCAGTGAGTCTCTGCGGGACAGATTGTCCTGGCCTTGCAGCTGCTGTCCCGGGCTCCTTGGGAGTGGAGGGACAGGGCAGGGTGGGCATCTGCCTGAGGCCTGGGTCTTTTTGGTGGCAGGTTCCGGGGGGGGCTGGACGTGACCCATGGCCAGACGGGAACAGAATCCATCTACTGCACCTTCCGCAGCAAGGAGATCATGTTCCACGTGTCCACAAAGCTGCCCTACACCGAGGGCGACGCCCAGCAGGTAGGAGAGAGCTGCAGTACCCCCCGGCAGGGGCTGCACACGGAAATGCATGTCTACACATGTATGGACACATATGTGTATACACCCCCTACAGTACAGCCCCACACAGCCTCCCAGCCCTGCATGGGCACACACCCCACGCTCTTCATGCACCCGCATATCACTCTTCTTTTAGGCAGTCACTGTGACCAATGTGACTCCCATCCCAAGTGGTTCTGCCCCAAACCAGCCCCCCCCACCCACGCAGCCCCTGGCCTGCTCAGCCCCAGCCCAGCCCCATTCCCCCGCTGGAGTGAAGAGACACTCGCTAGTGCCAAGGCCCCGTCTCGACCCAGAGGGGAGGGGGGATATCAACAAAGGGCAGCCAGGGGATCCCCCCGTCCCTCTGGCTCAGCCTGTCCATGCTCCTGCCCCTCGCTGAGCTCCCAGTCTCCCTGATCTGTCTCCCACCACTTCCCCTCCTTGACCTGTGCTGGGCCTGGCCGCCTTGGCACGGGGCTTGGGCTGCGGGAGTAACGCCCTCCCTGCTGCGCTCAGTTGCAGAGGAAAAGGCACATCGGGAACGACATTGTGGCCATCGTCTTCCAGGACGAGAACACGCCCTTCGTGCCGGACATGATCGCCTCCAATTTCCTGCACGCCTACATCGTGGTGCAGGCGGAGAAGCCCTGCTCCGAGAGCACGCTCTACAAGGTGAGCGCACGCCCAGGGGCCTGCTTGTGAGTCGCAGCCCGCCAGGGACCCAGCCCATTTGGTGCGGCACCACCAAGTTACCATGGCACTAACAGGGCAGGGGCTGGGCCACAGACCTGCTCCCAGCTAGAGACTGGGAGCTGAGGGGAAAGGCCTGGGCAGAGCCCTGGGCATGGGAAGCAATCCATGACACTCAGAAATGGGCCACAAGGTTCTTAATATGGAAGTGACAGTCCCTAGTGGTTATAGATAGGGGCTGGTAGTCAGGACTCCTGGGTTCTGTTTCTGCTCTGCCACTGACTCTCTGTGTGATATGGAGCCAGTCTCTTTGTCTCTCTGTGCCTCAGTTACCTCTTGGGGCTAATGATCATGTGAAGCATGGGTGTTATCACTGCTTCCCCTGGGATGGTCACTGGAGGAGGGGGAGCCCTGTCCAGAGCACATGGCCTGGGCGTGAGGTGGTTGAACCCGGAGCCAGGCTGATGCTGACCCAAGGACACCCTGTGGACCTGAAGTGGAAGGTCCTGGTTCAATGCTGAGCCCCTGGCCCCAGTGATCTGGGGAGATGGCAGCTCTGGGGGGAGCAGCACTGCTGTCACCACATGCTGCCGGAGAGTCCTGGCCAGAGGGGCTGGAGGCCGCTGCTCAGCGCAGCCTAGCGGGGCTGGGAGGGGTGAGCTCTTGGGCAGGCATACCGCTCGGAGGGATGCACCGCTCCTGGGCACTACAGGCCCCAGCGCTCCTGCCCAGGCTGTCGGGAGGGTGATTCCCCTGTGCCATGAAGACACCCCAGTGTCCAGTAAGTGGGGCAAGGCAGGGGGCCCTGCAGGAAAGAGCTGCCCAGCTGCCCACCCCATCTGGGCCCTCCCTCATCTAGACATACCCACTGGCCTGGCAGCACGTGGCTCAGGTGGGACTGACAGCGCCATGTCTTGCAGGTCTCCGTCACAGCCCGGGACGACGTGCCTTTCTTTGGCCCCCCACTGCCTGACCCAGCCGTCTTCAGAAAGGTGAGAGGCGAGGAAGCCTGAGGCCAGCTGCTGCCCCCAGGCAGGCACTGACCTGCCCAGAGGGGACGTGTTGAACTTCTCAGTCCCAGGGAGCTCCCTGGGGCCAGCTCGTCCGTCTGTGCGGGAGTCACGCTCTCTGCTGGGAATGCCGTTCTCCCTGGACAGGGAGCCCAGGGGGCCCTTGGAGCAGCCATAGAGTCTGCTGGTTCCTGCCCTGTCCCATTGCGGTAATGCCTGGAACTCTGGGGCAGGCGGGGCCAAGGCCGGGGCCAAGGTGGGTGGAGCTTCCTGCTGCTATGTGCTAGTCCCACCACCAGGGGTTGCTCGGCCGCTGCCAAGTCGCCCTGGCTGATGCTGGCTGCCTGATGAACTCATTCCCTGGGGAAAGGCAGAGGCTGACGTGGGGTTTCTCCTCCCGCAGGGCCTCGAGTTCCAGGAGTTTCTGCTGACCAAGCTGATCAACGCCGAGTACGCCTGCTACAAAGCCGAGAAGTTTGCCAAGCTGGAGGTGGGTCAGGAGCCACGTGCCAGGTGCTGCGTTCTGAGCTGGCATCCTCGCTAGCCCCCCCCCAGCAATGCCCAGTACCTGCCCTCTCCTCACCCATTGCCCCATGCCTCATTCTGGCCCCGTCTCTCTATCCATGAGCCCTCATTCCTGTGAGAGCCGATGTGCCGCAGTGCCCGCGTTAGGGCTCTGGGAGCAAGGGTGGCGAGACGGTGCCCTCGGTCGTCGGCTCTGGGGCCAGGACCATGCCTCGCTGCACAGTTGCATGCAGTTGTTACACCGGGCCCAGAATACGGCCACTGAGCTGGTCCTGTGGCAGTGCAGCATGTGCCAAAGGCTCCTGGGGACACCCCTGCTCTCCAGGACCGACAGCCGGGCATCGAGCTGGAGCCAGGGACAGAATCACAACTCGTCCTCTGTCCCCCCCAATACTCAGTCCCCTCTGCCCCCTTTGTTCCTGATCGCTACTGCCCCCAGCCCATGCCTCCAATGCCACTAACGCCCCCTGTGCCCCTCCTGCCACAGGAGCGCACGCGGGCAGCTCTGCTGGAGACGCTGTATGAGGAGCTGCATGTTAACAGCCAGTCCATGATGGGCCTGGGCGGGGATGAGGACAAGCTGGAGAATGGCAGCGGGGGTAGCGGAGGCTTCTTCGAGTCCTTCAAGGTGAGAGGGGCATGGCCCAGTACCTGGCAGCGCAGCTCTCCAGCCAGGGACCGCCAAGGCCTGGGAAGCTGCACGTCAGCTCAGAGCACTGGGAAGGAGACAGAAGATCTAGGGATGTGTTGGAGGGCAGGGGGAACCCACACTTTTAGCCCTTCAAGCAGTGGTCCCCAAACTTTTCACAGTCATGCCCTCCCTTACCCTTCTTTGCACATCCCCCCCATACCCCTCGGGAGCCAGAGCCGGGAGCGGGGCCATGGCTCCTGGGTGGGGGGGGACAGGGGTAAGGGGGCCAAGGCTGGGGGTGGTTTTGGGGCCAGGAAGGGGGCTGGAGGCTGAAGCTGAGGGCAGGACTGGGGTTGGGGCTGGGAGCAGAGCCATAGGTGGGGGCAGGGCTAAGGCCAGGGCCGGGAGTGGAAGCCGTGGCTAGGCCACAGTCGGGGCTGAAGGCTGGGGGCAAGGCTGGGGTTAGGGCCGTGGCTGGAGCAGAGCTGGGAGCCTGGGGGCGGAGGGGAGCTGCGTGGTACTCCCACTGCACCCCCCATGAGGGCTGGCCAGGGCCCCACTGCACTCACCCCAAAGTTCCTCCGTGCCCCCCAGGTGGGCACATCCCACAGTTGCAGGGCTCTGCCTTAAAGGGATGTAGTAGCATCCAATGGTTAGAGCAGGGGCTGGGAGGCAGGAGTCCTGGGTTCCATTCCCAGCTCACTCCCCCACCCTGCCTCAGTTCCCCCATCTGTCAAAGGGGACAGTGTGGTGACCAGCCTCTGGGTTCCCCGCATGGAAGGGGCTAGGGAAGTGCCAGATACTGGATTGCCGTTCTGTTGTAGGCTGCGTGACAGGTTCGATCAGAGAAACCCCCTTGGGACTGGCACCTGATGTGCTGAGACTACCTCTGAGCCCGTTTTCTCTGCCAGTTTGGGCCTCCAGAACCCTGCCTTGTCGAGCCAGACACGCCCGTCTGCTCCAACACAGACCCAGGGTCTGAACCACGGGCCCCAAAGCTGCAGACTTAACTGAAAACAGCTTAAGAAGTGCTCCTGTCTCTAGCAGCCAGACACCCAGCTCCCAATGGGATCCAAACCCCAAATAAATCCATTTTACTCTGTATAAAGCTTATACATTTATACATTTTAGTGGCCTGCATTAATTCAAAACATCTGCAGTTTGTTTATGTTATGTCCTGCCCATTCCTGTATTTTCTCACTTCTGTTCTCAAACATCGCTGTCTCAAGGCTGGGTCACGCTGACTCTACTCTGCTGTATTCCCACTCGCTTCTGACGTGAGCCCTGCTTCGACAGGTCCCGCGATATTAGGCTAAGACTTAGCATGACAGTTGCTCTGTTTCTTACAACTGAGAGGCCTATATTTAAATCCTCTAACCCTGTTTCCACATTCCCCTCTTTTGTGCTTGTCTTTAGCACAACCAACATTCTTAAACCTCCAATTGCATCATGTCTTGTATTTCTGTTTATAGCTCAAAAGGATCAGGACTAGCCCTATACATCTTAGCTGGATATAACGATAATGCATGATTCGTATGAACATGAAAGGCATTTTTGTTATTACACTCCTTACAACAACAGTAACACATTCCTAGACTAAACAAAAGCAATACAAGCACTACATTATACATTAATGTATAATATGCTGGGGTTGTTTCACTGCCTTAGTTACATAGCACATCACATCATAATTAGTACCCAAAGTAGCCACGCTGTAGGCTGTATGAAAAGCATGTTTTCCAATTTAATATATATTCTGAAGCACATGGATTTGACCCTGTAAGTCAGAAATTTTCTGAACCTCTGGTAGGAGTAAGCACAAATTCTGAAATCGGTCAGGTATTAAAGTGGTCCAATTAAAAGAATTTGATACCTAAGGTCTGATTGTAGGGCTTTGTCTGCTGGCCAATAAATAATGTGATTTCCTGCGGTCATGGTGAGATTAAAATGCCTATCTAGCAAAGAGGTGGCCTTAATGTATACGCAGCTATCATTAGCTTGGAACAGGAATTATCTTGTCAGGGTAGTTCCTTGTCCCATACCTTCCCAACAAACTTTGTTAAACATTGTGACAGCTTCCCCTTGCTTCAATTTCCTTACACACTAAAGCTGCGGGAGTGCCAAGGGCCAAAATGTCCACTGATTCCCTATTCCAATCCAAATATCAGGCGTTATTCCAGGAGCACTAACAAATCAACTAGGCATTACCAGGTGGTCTAATCTCCTAGATATCACTGGGGGCAGGGTACTGGACTCGATGACCTCTCGTGGTCCCTTCCAGTCCTAGAATCTATGAATCATGGTGAATTATCCAGTCCCACATGCATCCTCCCCATGGACCTGGCAGGATTCGGTATGTGGGAGCCCACACCCCTCCTACCGGCCCACATGCTTGGAAGGAGCACTGCAAGTACTTGCACATCCATCCTGAAAATCTCCAAGTATGTCTTCATGGCCACAAATCAGATGGCTAATCCTGAAGGGCAGTAGGCCACGCCTGATGCTCGAGATCACTCCGAATGGCCATTAGCTGGTCATTCAGGAAATCCTGAATCTCCAACCATGCTAGATCCCACTGCAATTCTTTTCCTGCCTCAGTGATTTTTAATACCATCTCTGTCAACAGCTCCTGGGTCATTGAACTAAGGGCAGAAATAACATGTAATTCACCAACTCCAGCTTGCACCTGGGTCAGCTGTGCTCCAGTAATAAGACCAGTGGCCTTTTCTAGTTGCCCTAATTTCTCATCATGTTATTGGCCCTTAAGAATATTCCAAATTGCTGCTGCACTATTGGCACCATCCCATAAGTGTCCAGCTAAGCCTCTTTTCTTCCTAGAGGAGACCTGTCCCTTTGCTGTGCTAGCCAAATAGCAGCCCCCTTGAGCAATTTGGATACATGAAAGTGATTTGAAAGCTGGATAGGGGCAGGGTAAATTTTACAGTCCCTAATGTGGCATTAATTATTGTTATTCGATATCCTAGTACATCTCTCTCGGGGATAGCATTATACCACATCTATTGTTTAAATATTCTCAGGTACTTTCGAGAGGCATTAACATTAATAGCATAGGCAGGGGTACGTTGTAATATGGTACAGGTTAAATTATTAGTTACTGGGATCATTTCAGTACAAGTAAAATTTCCAGTAGCAGAACACACTCTCTGAGTATGAGTCTGATTATTTACTAATTGGATAACCAAAACAATAAGGACCCCTTCCCCCTGATATACTACAGACCCCTGGAATGGCCATTATATCAACCCCATTATAAAACCTTAATTTCAAATTCTTGAAGCTCATTTGTAGTGATGTCATATACTTTTATCTCCTCTGACCAGTCTTTTTCCACTCAATTGTTCGCTTATATGGGATATCCTGAACCTTAAAAATATTTTTTTTCTAACAGTATTTAAATAAATCACTAAAGTGTGAAGGCCTTGGCCATTGGTTTTATCAAATATATGGCATTGTCTGTATTTGGATGTGTTACAGGGGTAATAGTGTAATGGAGGAGATGGCATTGGCATTGGCAACAAGATGCTTTTGGTATTTGTCATTTAAAATCCAACTAGGGAGGGCAATACATGCTGAAGGTACTTATCCAAAAACACAGGGCGCAGCCTGTAGAATAAACCCCAAAATCCAATCAATACCACATTCCCAAGCATGGGTCCCACAAGTTTCTTCCTGCTAGTGTATACTTTTTTTCCCCTTCACCAGGGTCAGTTCTTAATGTCTTTTGTAGTCAGGAATTCCAGGATTTTGACAATTTCAGCAGAGCGAGTATTCCTTCTTCTTTCCTGAAGCAATCGTGGCTCAGCATCAGACAGGGGAGAGGTTACCAGCACAGCACCCTGTAGTGCTTTGGTTTCTGTAGCAAATACAGAATGCAGGTTAGCTCTGTCAGTGGACAAGGCAGAGGTTACCAGCACATCACCTTGTCCTTTTCTCCTGCTGTTCAGACGGAGGAAAAGAAATACCAGAAGGAGAGACAGGCTGATCAATAGAAGGAGTGGAATTATTTCGAGGCGAAGGGGTCGTTTTGCAGTGAGAAGCATGGGTCCAGGAAGTCAGTCTTTGGCACTTCCCAGCAGTATTGGTAGTCAGCCGGATTTGGTAAGGGCCTTTCCTGCGTGGAGCCAAAGCAGTCTTTCGTTGGTGGACCTTTACATAGATCCAATCTCCTGGTTCCAAGGAGTGGCAGGGCTGCTAGGGTCTTTGGGTAGTGCTTCTTTTACCTGTGAGAAAAGAAACATAACACATTTCATTAATGCCTGGCAGTGTTTTGCAGATTTTACAGCTGCTTGGGCACATTCAAGCCCCCCTCCCCGCCCCACACACACACCTTTTCTTGGCTGTCAGCCAAGTCTTAGCTGTGAGCAGTGTCCTTGAACGGGGCCAGCCTCTTATTTTTGGACTGAACTTGCTAACTACAGGGTTTTTTTTCCAGTTAACTCGTTCTGTTCTTTTTCCTTCTCCCCTTCTTGGCTTCTTTTAACCTACAAAGGAAACTTCCATTCTTCACTCATACACCTTTACCCAACAATGAATACATACACATTGCCATTATACAGTACTTTAGTCTGATTATTCAATGTATGCCACATACACCCTTCCAGTAAAATAACTTATAAAATAACTTTGGAGCAACAAGCCAGGACAAGCACACCCACTTTTGAGGAGTCCACTCGGTACAACCTCTGGTGTCCAATAGCTTTCCTCCCTCCCCAGCCCTCTGGCTAGAAATCTGAGGTAGCCAGAAGGATCCCATGTGCAATATGGGGAGTGGGTTAACCTTTCATGTCCTTGCTTCCAAAGACTGTTGGTATGCAAATTTTAACAACAATTTTTCAATTAAAAGATCTGGCCAATAAAGTTTCTTTTTCTTACTTAAGCAAATGTATTAAACTTTAGTATATCACATTTTCCTGATATTAGCCAAACACTTGGTATTCCAAGTTGAATAAAACAAGTATCTGCATTTTGATTTAACC